GCTGATGCGATGTCCCTCTTCGCAGGAGCCCAGATGGTGGTGACTGACCTGTCGGAGCCCGAGCGGCGAGCTGACGCCTTGGCAAAGCTGGGCCTGTGCTTTGGCATCGGCATGATTGTGGGCTCCTCGCTGGGGGGCGCTCTCAGCACACACTACGGGTAGGTTGTGGTTCTCACTTCGGGCTCTGTCCAGGGGTGGCGCAGACTTGCACACTGATCAAGGCATGGCAGCGTGTCTTTGCTGTTGTTGTTTCTGTAATCGCCATTGATGTGTCTCTCCCTTTGTTTCCCCTGATTTGAAGCAGATTATTTTTTAAAAACAAAAGAGAGGAGCATTATTAAAGCGATCTGGTCTCAGGTCTTCTCAGTGAAACGATACACTGGGTGAGCTCAGGCACGAGCTCAAGACTGTTGCACAGTGCCTTTCTGTTTAGCCTACAGCGCCACAAAATCCATTGGCTTCCACTGCACCAACCTGCTTGATAAATGATCTACAATTAACAAATTCTGAAATTTTACATTGGCAGTAAGTCTAATATCTATAGAAGGATTCTTGGAGGTATTTTAAACCATGCTTGAGGCCTGTATCAAACCTTGCCTCCTGTTTGATTTCCAGCTGCTTGCTGGGATGACAGGGTGAGTAATTGCTTCACTGCTTAGCTAGGATAGGGCTTTAGTGCCTTGAGGGCAAAGGTAATTGTAGTGTAGCTCTGTAACTTGGCTAAATCTGTGGATTTACAAACAGGCGATCACGTGAGTTCATGACTAAACAGAAGCAGGTCAGAGACCCGGTCTTATCATGCTTCTTGTCTTATTTGATACTGCTTTCAGTGAGGCCACAGGACACACTCGACTTGATTTAACTCTTTCCTACCTGGGACACCACCAGAACTGCCACTATACAGTGCTGACACTGCATGATCATTTTGTGGCAGGACTGGGCCCGACACTTTGCTGCCTTCTAATCATTGTAGCCAACAGAGAAGACACAGTCTCTGAGGCTAAACCAGTTGTTTCCTGGGACTGGGACCCCTACTGTGGTTTGCCAGAGGAGCTAAAAATTGTGTTAAACTATCAAACTAAAGCGCATTGCTTTGTATGAAAGTGGAAGTGTCTCCAGCTAATAAGATACATTTAATCGATGTTGATCTAGCAGTAGTAAGTAATTGTAAGTAAGTGTAAGAGAAAAGATGGTGAATTTATGTAAGTGCTGAGCTTTGTGGATCCTGAAGTTGCAGTGCTTGTGGTTTGCCAGGCACTGGTTTGGAAGGCAAGCTCAATTTTCAAGGGCCTTGCAGATTTTTTATGTTCCTCTAGAAGGTACTGCAGGCTAAGCGATCAGCAATGTAATTCGGTTGTAAATTCAGTTTCAAAGACCTTTATTGGCAAACCCAGTTAATTACATTACTGCTAAAGCAAAAACATTTACAAACATCTAGAACAATAACATAATGTTATCAATATGATAGCATAATATTTATATCATAATATTTAAACATCACAGCTTTGGAATAAACATATGTAAGTTCATTGTTACAATTGGTATCGCTTGTAAGAGCAAGGAAAGTCCACATCATGTACAGTATACACACTTTGTTACAAATTGATACAGATGTACCACTGGTAAAAAGAAAATACATTCAAGTTCCATTTAATATCAAGTTAGATTGAAAAACAATTGCAATCCCTAAAATTGAGTTCTTTGGGTTAAGACTTCTGATCTATAATGCTTCAGAATTTGAAAATTCTGAAAAACGTGTATCCTTTCTTAATAGAAGTAGGTGAGTACTCTCAAGAGAATTTTTCGATTTTTCATGTTTCTTGTTTTGATACCTGTTTGATTCGTTTTTTTAAAAATATATACATGAAGTATTTGCAGTATAATACACCTATCATGAGTCTTAAGGTTTTTGTGAACAGTAATATTTAATCTTTGTATCCCTATGCTCTAAGGATCAAGCTGTGAATTTCAGAATTGGGCAGGTAAAGAATTTTTACATGTGTGACAGAAGGTGGTGCTGTTGAGCCACAGGAGTTCCAAAAGGCTCCAAGCTGCCATAGTGAGGCTCCCATTCATAGCTGATGCTGTATCTTGGCTATCTCTCCTTTTACAGCGATAATTCACAGACTAATCTAATTACATACTTTCACCCTCAGAAATTTTGGTCATCAGTTGCATGAAGGCAGACGAATATTTAAAAAGGAGCCAGTTAATTTACTTCTCATGTGGTGTATGGATTATCGATCTTGTGGTATGCTTCTCAGTCGTAACAACATAAAGTTTTTCTTTTAAATTAATATAATGTTATGTATTTTTAAGCCACCTTATCAGTATTGTCAGGGCAATATTGATGTCAGAGTGTAGTCTGCTTCTGTTATGCTCCTCGTAGAGACTCTACGTACTCTTTTCCACATATATAGTGCTTAATTTGTTTGTTAACACCTGTATGAACAAGTTACAAAGTTCTGCTCATCATCTGAAAAGTAAATATATATGAGGAAACCTGCATTCAAAATTGACCTACTTGTAATGATTTTGCAAGAAACGCAGAGAATAAATGATCCTCAGAACAAGTTTAATTCAGTTACTGTATATGAGTATTAGACCTGGCTTATGGGTGAACTAATGAACCTGGCTAAACTGACCAGTAAAAGAAAATGTTCCTCGTGTAAATCAATGAGGATAATATCACAGCACAGGATGTTTGCTGGGATGGTCTTTACTGGCAGCACAAAAAAGTATGTCTCCTGGGGAAATGAGTTGTTTCCCATACAAGTACCCGATAGATGAATCATGACCCTGCCAGGTGTCACAGAAGGTTTTACAGGGGGTGAGCTGGCTGTAGGGAAATTGCTGTTTACACGGACACCCCTCTCAGTCGTCATGTTGGAGATTGTCTCTGTACTATTGCACTCCATGTTTAACAGTCAAAGAGCAATTTTGTTTCTTAGCAAATGTCCAGTTAAGGGCTCACTTATAGAAAGAGCTACTGTATGTACAGGCGTGCACACAAGCTGAGTGTTTCAGGGCAGAGAAGTTTTAATGAACTATATTAAAAAAAGAAACAAAATTAAATGTTGGTCTTTTGGGTTCTTTTTCCTCTGGGATTCCCCTGCATGCAGCTTTTTATTGTAATTGTTTACATCTTGTTTTGTTATTTTTCTTATTTTACTGGATGACAATTTCATGCTTCACAGCAATGTAAATAGCCCCATCACTACTTTGTTGAGCGAGTGGCTGTAACAAAGTGCAGTCCCATTGAGGGCAAAATATGAATGCTGTGACTGTGCCAAACAATGGCATCACTGTGCTCCATCTCTTCTCTTCTGTTCTAGGACGAATCAACTTCATATAAAGGCTTAAGGAAGTTAAACACAGATGTTCTGAAACATATAAGTGTGCAAGAGTAGTGATTAAGGTCAATATTTGGAAATCAAAGAAAGACAATTATCTAGAATAAAGTTATAGGAAGAATGAATTCATTCGTGTTGCTCTAATAGATTGTGCAGAACAGGTTCCCAATCCTGATTTTGGACGCCCACACACCTGGTGGTTTGTGTTTCAGCCCAACTCTCAATTACACAATTAAACCCTTAATTCACTTAATAATAGGATTCATTTGAATTGTTTGATTGTTTTGTGCTCTTAAACATTTTGGAAGTTGTCTTCTAACTGTGATATTTTGTAAGTATCCTAAAAATGTCTAACTTTTGAGTCGAAAGAAAACTTACAAATGTTCTAATCAGGCTTCAATTGAGTAATTTAGCTCAGCCTGAATGGAAAACCAGCAGGTGATTGTCTTGTATTATTCACATTTGAGAAATGTACGCATAAATAAACTGAGAAAGAGTGATGGTCCGTATTGCTCAGTTATTGAGAGGCACAGCAGGTAGTGCTTGTGTCCTGGGTTTAGTTCCAGCCTGCTGTGCCTCATCTGTGGAGTTAGCAGAGTTTCCTCTGGATACTTCACTTTCCTCTTGCCTGGGCTGCACTCCAGTGATGGATGAAACGGGTCTCCTGTGTGTAAGATATTGTGCGATCCTTTGGGTTGTAAATAATTGCTCATATATTATTGCAAGGAATTAGTATTAACAATATTTCAAATCATAATGAAGAAATTAATGTATTATTTTTTATTAACTTATTGTTACACCTACTGTATGTAGTACACCTGGAAAAACCAACTTTGTTGTGAATAACAATTCCAAAATCATCAGGCTGTCTATGTGGAAAAGCACAGTTAATCTAGTCCGGAGGTTATGAAGAAGGACTGAAAGAACTGAAGAAGGAGAACTGATCTTTTTTTAGTCATCATGAAATTAGACGGTATATGTATTTATCAGCTACATTTGCCTTATTTTAAGGAGGTGTAAGAAATGTGTTTTGTAGCACAGGAGTGTTGGCAGGCCTAATGCATGCTGTATGACAAAGGGGTGGCATGGTGGCACAGTGGTTCGCGCTGCTGCCTTGCAGCGCTGGGCCCTGGGTTTAATTCCAGACCTGGGGTGCTGTCTGCTTGATTTGGTTCACCTGTGTTAGTGTGGGTCAGCTTCTGGGAGGATTGGTCCTGGTGTGGCTACTGTATATGTGTGTCTGTGCGCCTTGTGCCTGGTGCTCGCTGGGACAGGCTTTGTAACCCCTTGTAACCCTGTGTCGGATACAGCAGTGAGAAAATAAACGGATGTCAAATTACCGTCTCATTTCCCTTTTCGTGTTCTGACACACGTGTTCATTTCAAACCTTGAGCAAAATCTAAAAAAGATTTATGCGGATTGTAACGCCTTTTTTCCACTTTGTTTCCAAGGCAGCTTGTGCGAAGAACTTTCATTAGGACACTCGTCTCGACCGGATCTTCTTTGCCCTAACTGGGTCAGTAATCTCCGACGTCTTCATTCTGACTGTGAAGTGAAACAGAGCCAGCGTGTGCATATAGAGCTCAGTCCACCCAGGACCAAGGAGGGGTCTGTGAGTGGTTGGGTGACAGGACTTGTTGGTGAGGGGGCCAATGTGTGCTAGAAACATGCAGTACAGTAGATGCCCCATATCTATAAGAGTGCTGTAAGAAAGCTGCAGTCTTCTGCTGCATTCTTACTGTAGGTCCCAGCATTGTACACGTTTTGGCAAGAATAACATTGGGTGCGATGAGACAACTGTTGTA